TGCTGCTGCTGCTGCTGCTGCTGCTGCTGCTGCTTGTATTCCTGCAGCAGAGGACATATATACTCATGATGTCCTTCGCATAAGTGGGAAGGGAAGGCGGGGGGGGCTTTGTTGCAAGGCGAGGATTTCTTCACGGCTCCACCCAGCAACAACTGAGAGAGAGGTGGTGGGTCCTGGATGTTTGCCTGTATGTATGTATGTGTTTACATGGACGATCGTTGCTGCAGCGCAGTAAGCACCAGCACCAGCAGCAGTAGAAATATGAGTCATGATGAAGGTAGTGCGCGTTAGTATGTAGTTTTGGAGGGGTGCTGGCACGTTTCACGTGCTCCATGGTTGCTTCTGTTTTCGATAGGAAGACGCTTTGTTTTTGTTTCTGTTGTGTTCGTTCATAGTCGTTCGCTTGTATGGCAGTGTTTACATGCTTCTTGATCGAGAGGAGAGGAGAGGAGAGGACAGAAGGGAGGGAGGGAGTGTCATGATGATAGGAGACAACAATAAAGAAGGGTAATATTGTTCCCGCATTGGCCGATGATGGCATGACAGAACTCTTGCTATCACGCATTTGCTCTTCGAATCGGTAATACTGTTACGCTTGTTGCGTCTGTTGTAGTAGAAGTAGTCGATAGAAAGATGCGAACACATTGAATTGAACATCTGACTCATCTGTCGGTGTAGCTACCACTGTTTGTTGTGTAAGTTTGATGTGATCGTTTGATGTGATCGATCTTGCTTGGGTGACTCATTTTGGGTGTCGTACAGTTGTTTTCGTTTCTTGACGGATTTCTTTGAGGGGTTGCCGTGGGATGATGTTGTGTCCGTGTTTTTCGTGAATATTAGTGGTGCTACATGTTGTACGTAGCACGTGATTTATTGGTCTTATCTATTATTTCGTTTGTGCCCCTATGTGCTATTCATTTGATTGGTGCAATGTATACTGTGAATGCTTATATAACGGCGGCGGCGGTAGTTGGGCGGTGGTGGTGGTCAGGTGATTTTGTTTCACAGGCAGATGTTTATTCGTGGGCGTGGCTTTCTTTTTGTTTTGACAGGGGAAGAAGGAAGACGCCGCGAGCATCGGTATACATTGATTGGCATGTAGACTGACTGTAGAAGGATGAGCTGATACAACGAAAAATAATTGGACGGCACAATTTACTTTCTTATATTTTTCGCGCAAAAATCCCCCAACTGATGGGGGTGGTATGGTACGTTCTTGACGCAACACCGGAACACAAACGAACGGTGATATTTTTATGACGAGCTGAACTTCGTTTCTTGCGGTTGAACAATAAAACAAATAAACATGGCAGCACGTACTTTGTTTGACAATGAATGCCCGTCCTTGCTGCTCACCACGTCATGGAAGACGCACCGCATTTACTTACTCGCTGGTGTTGTTGTGCTCGGGAGGCGAAGGAAGCAGGCTACGGGGGCAGGCTGCGGCGAAGTCTTCTAAGGTTTTCCTTATTTGGGAGAACAGAACCAACAAAAGACAAGAAATGATGCCCCACCCACTGACTGTTGACATTGTTCTGTTGTCGAAATGTTCTATGCTCCGGTGTGGGGTCTCGTGAGGGGGGGGGCGGGGGGGAGAGCTCTCGGGGTAGAGTTAGAGGCAGTAGGGTTTTGTTGTATTAGTCGTGGAGGTTCCTTAAATGGGAGGACGAGTAATGACATTCATATCTCTTCGTTATGCCTGTTGATCCGGTGTTGGTGAATGTTGTTCTGAAGCCAGTCCCCCCCTTCATCATGACGAGAGTTTCAGTTTGCGGGGGGGGAAGGAAGCTGGCTTAGCTGAGGCCCGTGCTACCCCCGTGCTGCTTTACACCCAGCGTCTTGTTTTTGAGGCCCGACGTCGAAGTACGCCGCCACTCAGCGTTTGTCAATGCCATCCGGCTTGCCCGTCCACTTTTCGTGTCGTGTGTGCTCGATCCTTGTCGGTAAGGTAAAATCAAACCACATGCTGCCGTTCCGCCTCCGACTGACTCGGAATAGCGTGCGCATGAATGCATGAAAATGCAACGACCGAACGATGGGTCGTCAGCGCTTTTACTACGACATGTACTGCGGAGCAAAAAAAAAAAACGGAATCTTCATACATACACCGTTTTGGGCATGTGCTTAGGTTTGTCTTGGTGACGGAAGAAAAGAAGAAAAAAAGCACGGCACCGCCGAGTGCGCTTCATCGGGCACGGCGGTGTCCTGACGGATGGCGGCGTGAATCGCAGCCTAGATATTTTTTGAGAGACAGACACGCGTGAAACACTCGCGCGCCAACTTTTGAAGGGCCAAGGACCACCATGAGCGTTTTGGTTGCAATTACACTCTAGGCTACGACTCCCACCCACCGGGTCATTCGCAAGCAATACTTGGAGCGCGGGGGACACACTAACTAATAACGGAAAATAATCGACGACCGGTTTAGCATGCTACGATGAATTCTTCAACAGCGAAACAGGGAACGGACACACACAACAAGCCGGCTTTCATGCTGCCGCCCAAGAAACCACCCATAACGGCACGCTATCACCTCCACAACCTAACTAACTGTACTTGCACTGCTAGACCAATACTACTGCTGTCGCTCTGGACCAGCAGTGCCAACGGAAACGAAGAAACAGCCCAAATCCCAGAACGAACCTCCAACAACCGAACCCTTGATTTTCAGCAGTACGGTAGAATTCACACGCGACCCCGCTACAGCAGTAACGCACCACTACTACTACTGCTGACGGGCTGGTGTGTATGTACTCTTTCAACACCGGGCAAGGCGACACAAGCGCACATTTCTCTAACGGCACAAAAGACTACCATCCTTAAAACACGTTCCACCTGCTGCCCGCTGTCCCAGATGAATGATGCCAGACACCCACTCACACAGTCAGTGCTTTCATATCATATCACACATCGCGTCCCCGTTGTGGGTACCCCGGACGGGGCTGGCCCGCACATGCCACCATGCCACCCCGAAAAATCGGCACCTCACATCAGCACCCGGGTAACACCACGAATCGAGCCCGACCGTTCTTTGGTTCACTGAGCCCAAAATGAAAAACGGGAGTTATTACAGCAGTGTAATTTCCCCATCCGTCGTCCCCCCTCTTGGCTACTTCAACTTGCTTCGAGAAAAGACAAAAAAGCTTCTTGCTCTGCCAAGCCCATGAACTCTATGACGCATCCATCCATCCGTCCTTCTCGTCTATTGTCTCATTCGTTTCTTTTTCTTTGGTCAACAACTACTCCTACCGGCTCCGCGCGCTTAACATCGACACTAACTCTCCCCCTCCCCTCTGCTCCCCCCCCCCCCCTCTGCTTTGAAGAAGCAACACCACGGGCCAACCGTTGCCTTGATTTTTCGCGCCCTCTTTCACACGATCC